ATGCAGGTTGTAGGGATTAATGAGTGGGGCTACATAAGCTACTGTTGCCATTATTTCTTTCTTAGCCAGATAGCCAAACATCTCCTTAAGGTGTATGAACATACCCTCTTGCGCAGCAGGCTGCCCTCATTGAGCTACTAAGTTCTGATCAAATTTTTCCACCTTTTACCAACGCACCAATCACCTGCTAGTATCATACCACCCCAGCAATTGAATCTCTCTCCCTGTTCTTTCATCTCCAAACGACGTCAGGAATGAAGTGGGTTTGCCCGGCCGTCGGTGTGGTCTGCACCCCCACCCAGTCGTAGTAGACTTTTCCTTCAGCATATTTACAGCTAGCTATAATGCGGAATAAAAATAATTACAGGACCGCAAGCTTCACATCGAAATTCAGACACCTTCCAACGTAAAATGAAAACATTTTACCTGTTTGAAATTTACTCTAGGGTTTTGAGAGGAGATATTTTATGATATTAGCTTGGTGTGATAGAGTTCAGTGCACATGAATCAACTTTTCGTAATTTGTCTCCTTATAATACTATAAGGATAAAATTTTGTTGATCACGTTTTTGTTTCTAAAAACTGATTTCGAAATATTTGTTAAATCCATCTGTGTGGCGGTATGGGGCCTCAGAGACGGCGTTATCCCCAGTGCCGAAACGGACAGGCGGACAGAATATGACCCTGCAGGATTCTATCGAGCGCAGTTAGAGTCCCGCGCCTACTTGGCAAGTTTGTATATCTTACTTCACCGGTTAGAAGACAGGTCTGTGGCGTACTGAAGCCCAATTGTGGCATTGAAACAGCCTATTAGCACCTTACTCAGCTCCCTATGCATGGTTTATATGCAAATGAACCTTGCTGACAAAGGCATAGGAAACTGGAATGACTATTTCGGGCTCATTCGCAATCATCAGTTAGACATGCCCAACCCCAGGCAGTGCACCATCCAAGGCTTGAGCCTGCTAATTAGAAGTCCAAGGTTCTAATCCAGTACACCGATTTAGATTTGGATTAAAAATACAGGCGTTTGTTGGTTAACGCTCACCAACCATCACCAGGACTCACTCCTGTCGTTCTGCCTTGGAGTTCACTCTCGAGCCCCGCCAGCAGTAATATGGGCTGATCAGAATTGCCAACAGAGGTAAGGCAGACTATAATCGTCAATTCTGGTTCATTAGCCCTCATCAGCTAGCCATACTCAACCCCAGGTGGTGCACCATCCGCGGCTCCAACACGAGAGCTGGTAAGTAAACGTCCAACGCTCTAATCCACGGCAAATAAGTGCCCTGTATACAATGGGTGCATGGCCACTTGGACAGGTTTTATCACAGTATACGGCATTACAGACATGGCACTATAACTTGTGGAGAATTTCTCTCTTTCCCAGACAGCCAAAACTGTCATCAAGGTGTACGAACATACTGTTTTCCACAGCAGGCTGCTCTCTTTGAGCTACTAAGGTCTGACCTATTTTTCCACCTTTCACCAACGCACCAATCATATGCTGGTATCATACGACCCCGGCAGTTGAATCCCACCCTGTTCTTTCATCTCCAAGCGGCGTCACGAATGAAGCGGATTTGCTCGGCCGTCAGTGTGGCCTCCACTCCCCTCCCCCAGCCCCATTCGTATCTCCTACGGCTGCGTAAACGGAGATCCATGGCGCCATTTCCATCCCTTCAAGAAAAATCTGGTTCCGTTTTTTTGTTCACAAAGGCGCGTGGCCGTACACTCATGAGCGG